CAAAATTTTAATATAAACTATTTAATAATATATTGTTTGGTATTTTGTCAAATGCTTTTGTAAAATCTACTAGGGTGACCGCATCTCATAGGGGGTGGAAAAAAATGTCGGAATTTTGTTCGTCTGGACCCCACAAAACGATTCCCCTTTCCAGATATTGAGATAGACGAAATTTGAGCTCGATTAAACGACGTTAACCCGTGCCGCTCGTCGCTCAAAGTTTGAAAAAATCCAAATTTTTGGCCAAAAAGCTGACATATGGAGCCATAACTCCACAACGGTAAATAATAAAAATACGCTTAATATCTCAAAAGAAAGCTAATGTTGTTCTTAAAAATTTGTAATCTGTACATAATTGTTGTTAATTTAAGTCAAACCGAGTTACAACAGCCTTTAGCCCCAAAAACATGACCTGGTACCACTAGGAGCATACTTCGTATATTTTGTTATTAAGTGATCAATTTTGCTTTTTTTGGTATATTTTTGAGTTTAAAGTAGAAGTATAATAAAAAACAACTAATTAATACTGATAAGTCTAATGACATTTTTTATTTTAAAATATAAAAATTAGGTATATAATACATACAAAACAGACACAGAAAAGATACAGACGTAGTACCTACATGAGTTGATTTTACATAGAAGTATAATAAAAAACAAGTAATACTGATAAGTCTAATGACATTTTTTATTTTAAAATATAAAAATTAGGTATATAATACATACAAAACAGACACAGAAAAGATACAGACGTAGTACCTACATGAGTTGATTTTACATAGTTATCTAATCTATTCTAGAGCTTTTGTTAAAGTAGTTTTTGAAACGTCAGGATATAATGCTCGGCATTTGCTTACAACTTGCAGGACATATTGCTTTGGGCCTTCATCTTTAGTCAGAAGGTTGTTAAAGTCGATTATTAATTTAACACCACGCCATATCATTAACTACTTTTAATGTTTTGACAATTTTCAATCCTTCTTGGAAGTCATTATTTTGAGGCCAGGTGTTTGGATGTTGTCTTAGGAAATCTGTTTTTATATTAAATCGGTCAAAGAATGTAAATGTTTCTTTGGTAAGTAAATTTACCAATCCTCCATCAACTACCTCTTTTAATTTTTCTTTCCTAACTTTGGGATTTACAACCCTAGCGTGTTCTGATGGTTCATCTGTGCTACTGACCAATTTATTAGCCATTAACAACTTTTCATCGTCTGTAATGGTGGGATCAAAAAAAGATAATCCCACCAACTCTGCATTCAAATATACAAAAAAAAATACCACAAATGATTCGAAAATTTGGTCAGGGCTATTTCTGCAATGTCGTTGTCACATTCTTTATAGTCTAACAGACTATGCAAAATACCTTAATCTTGTTTTGGTGCAAGATGAGCTTTTGGAGCATTAAACCAAGCTTTACAATAAATTTTAACTAGGAAAACAGAAATGGCACGCACAGAACTTTCTTCTTCTTTAGACATCTTAAATTGACGACGAAAAATGAACATTTTTAAGCAGTAAATAGCCTTTGCCATCCACCTAGCGTGATGAATGGCTCCTGGAGTTCTGGGATCTCTCTGGGGTGGTTCTCAGTTAATTTGGTCTCGAATTCAGCAGCTCCTCTCCAGAGCTGTTACAGGAACTCCCAGCAGCTGTTCATTTTCGCCATATGAAATAGCAATAGCTATTCGCTCACATTGTTCATTTTTAAAATACCCGGCAAAAGTTTACCATTCCAATGGACAACCACGGGCTCTTTTTCAGGAATGTTTAGTTTATAATTTTTTAGTATATTGTTCTCTCAACATTTGCCTTCTATAATGTAATGAAGTTTTCGAGACTTTGTACTCAAGAGGGTCAAGGTTTAGTGCTTCTAGAGTAGCTATTAAAATCTCGTGGCATTTCTGTCGGATACCTTACATCGATCTAACAAAATGGACAATTTCATGTTTAAAATCTCTTTAACGCCCCTTGCAACTTTCATCCTCTTTCTCTCAGATGGCCCTGGATCTTCTACAGCTTCTTCAGGGATGTCCATTTCCTCCAAGCTCTCAAGTTACTGGTAGATGCTGTCCTCTTCAGTGTCTTCTTCTTCTCCTTTTTCGAACTTGTCTTCATCATCCGTCTCTAAGAAAGAGAAAAAATGACTATAAAAACTTGTCGTTTTAGCAGAATAGTAATAATAATATCAATATCAATCAAGGTATTATTAAAAAAATATCTATTATCTATTATTTATCTATTTTTTAGAATAATAATAAAAAAAACTCACCAATATCAAAAGTTTCTTCTTGGATTTGTCGGTTCATTTTGCGCCTTGATTTCTTCAGCTCAAGACAACTTGAGATCCACTCCAGTCATGGAACCTGGGCGGCCCTTCTGCCTCTGTTTCACGAGAAACGCCTCGTTTTTGGGGTCAAATGCTGTTGTAACTCTGTTTGACTTAAAATAACAACAATTATGTATAGAATATAAATTTTGGAGCATTAAACCAAGCTTTACAATAAATTTTAACTAGGAAAACAGAAATGGCACGCACAGAACTTTCTTCTTCTTTAGACATCTTAAATTGACGACGAAAAATGAACATTTTTAAGCAGTAAATAGCCTTTGCCATCCACCTAGCGTGATGAATGGCTCCTGGAGTTCTGGGATCTCTCTGGGGTGGTTCTCAGTTAATTTGGTCTCGAATTCAGCAGCTCCTCTCCAGAGCTGTTACAGGAACTCCCAGCAGCTGTTCATTTTCGCCATATGAAATAGCAATAGCTATTCGCTCACATTGTTCATTTTTAAAATACCCGGCAAAAGTTTACCATTCCAATGGACAACCACGGGCTCTTTTTCAGGAATGTTTAGTTTATAATTTTTTAGTATATTGTTCTCTCAACATTTGCCTTCTATAATGTAATGAAGTTTTCGAGACTTTGTACTCAAGAGGGTCAAGGTTTAGTGCTTCTAGAGTAGCTATTAAAATCTCGTGGCATTTCTGTCGGATACCTTACATCGATCTAACAAAATGGACAATTTCATGTTTAAAATCTCTTTAACGCCCCTTGCAACTTTCATCCTCTTTCTCTCAGATGGCCCTGGATCTTCTACAGCTTCTTCAGGGATGTCCATTTCCTCCAAGCTCTCAAGTTACTGGTAGATGCTGTCCTCTTCAGTGTCTTCTTCTTCTCCTTTTTCGAACTTGTCTTCATCATCCGTCTCTAAGAAAGAGAAAAAATGACTATAAAAACTTGTCGTTTTAGCAGAATAGTAATAATAATATCAATATCAATCAAGGTATTATTAAAAAAATATCTATTATCTATTATTTATCTATTTTTTAGAATAATAATAAAAAAAACTCACCAATATCAAAAGTTTCTTCTTGGATTTGTCGGTTCATTTTGCGCCTTGATTTCTTCAGCTCAAGACAACTTGAGATCCACTCCAGTCATGGAACCTGGGCGGCCCTTCTGCCTCTGTTTCACGAGAAACGCCTCATCTTCTTCCGATTTCATCAGAGCCAAGGCATCTTGCTGAGCAATATCAAAGAGATCATCCAACTTTTCAACGAACTGTTTAAATTTATTCTTAGCCGTTTCCGATGTTTTCTTCCGGTCTTTTTGAAGAGTTCTCAACTCGGCGTAAAGTTTTTCCAGCTTAGTAATTGAATCTTGCTCATGTTTCGTCGGAATTAGAGCTTTCACCCAAAAAATTAACACTTCTCGTATGGCAAGTTTTGCTGATTTTCTTACAGTTAATTTAACAGCACGTAAATTATAAAATAAAACACACAAAACTTGACGATTTGAGGGTAGTTTACAACCGGTGATTTGGTGAATGAGATAGCCCACAAGAAATATGTTATCCTTAGTTCGGCTTTGTACACCTGATGTGGATGCCATTTTATCCGTAAAACAAATATTAATAATACTTTTCTTCAAGATTCTGGTATCTACATCCGGCAACGCATAAACTAAAGGCATACCACTCTATAGCCGTCTTATATTTTGCTAATTCATACCTAATAAAAGGATTAATGCAAATAATTTTATAAATTAAATATAATTACCTGATTTTTTGTTAAAACTTAACCTTTACCTGTTTTAGTAAAATACACACAGGTAAAACTAAATAATAATTTTTGGAGCAAATAGTAAAAATAATTTTAAAGAGCCTTTTGTTTAAATTTAATCTTTTATTACCTGACTATTAGTCAGGTAATACCCATATAACAAAATATTATTTTTGAACAAAAGGCTCTTTTTGTTTGAAAATTAAGTTCCAAAATAGTTTTTAATAAAAAATGTTAATTCCGAGACACATTATGTAAAAACCCGCACGTTTTTGGGGTCAAATGCTGTTGTAACTCTGTTTGACTTAAAATAACAACAATTATGTATAGAATATAAATTTTGAAGAACAACTCTCTTTTGAGATATTAAGCGTGTTTTTATTATTTACCGTTCTGGAGTTATGGCTCCATATGTCAGCTTTTTGACCAAAAATTTGGATTTTTTCAATCTTTAAGCGACGCAGGAACATCATTAGGTCCAGCTGTGAAATTGGTTTTAATGTTTTTTGTAGCGCACAGTATATCAGGTACACTTATAGTAAATAGGTCAAAAACTCTCGAAACATTTAGGTAACCAAGTCTGCTAGTTAGTTCTATAAGAATAACCCAACTCTAGTTTGTATAAATTAGTTTGTCTTTCTCTTTCATGTTCACTGAGGCGATTACGGTCCACCGATTAATAAACTGTGTCCTACAGTTCAGTCAACCGTAGCTTATAATTAGTATAAATATTGTAGATTTACCATTTAGATTTAGTTACAATTTGCTTCTGAAGATGCCAACATTGTTGGCGAAAAGTACTTTAAGCACTTTCTGTTTTGTTTTTGTGTTGGAAAATATTTTTAAAGTTATCCTGTATTATTAGTATTATTATTGTTGTGGATAAAAATTAATCGACAGGCATGGGTCCCATTATTTACAAATAAAATGTTTTTAGGGATTTTCTGTAGAGGGCAATGAACATTTTCAAGAAGTTCTATCCAAAAATATATACATATGCCAATGTCTGGTAGCACTTGAAATTGTAAGAAAACATGGAAATTTTGTAACAAAACTGTTTGACGTATTTACACCTTTTAGTATTGGTTTACTATACTTAATGTATCAATGTTTTACTAAAGGTTAGTAGTAAATTGTATAATTACAAGAATCGTTTAAAAAGTATATTAGTCTAAAATACGAAATACTAGACGAAACATTTCTGAACAATACTCGTTTTTATAAAGAAAATTTCTAATGAAAAGTGCTTTCCTATTTGTTGAGAGGTGCTCTACCTACCTACCCTACAAAATCTACCAACTCCCGCGATTAATTTTTTTTAATAAAAGCTGTTTGGTTGATTATACGTTTTGTGCATAATTAAGTTTTTAAATAACACTTTGTATGTGTATGTACCTACCTACAAACGTACAAAATAATATTTTGATAAAAATTAATTTTACTATTAAAAACCTCCCATTTCTCTCCTGGAGGTATGGCTAATACATTTATACGTTTTACTTTTTTTTAGCCCTTATCCCTTTTAGCTTCTGAAGTTTTTTAGTTGTACTTTTGTGTTTTTGTTGTAGTTTAATATTAAACTGCCAAACTGTATTTTTGTGTTTAATTAGTTTTTAAAATTATTATTTCAGTTTCAATTTTTAAACCAAATGCTTCACGACCTGCAAATTCAGAAAGATATTTTATATGTCAAAATTTGAAAGAAAATTCTCAGGTCAATTTTATTAAAGAATATTTATGGAAAGTTGTAAAACGATTGTGGGAATTTTCCACTAAAAATGAAACAAATATAGATATATTAAGTATAGTTCCTTTGGAAGTAATTATTGAAAACAAATGTTTTTATGATTACATTGTTGAGAGTAATAATAACCTGGGTCTTAAGCAGATTAAGGCACTGCAAAAATTAAGGGAATTCTGTCTAGATCCATTATTAATTGACCCAAGACAAGAAGAGTTAAAGGAAAAATCCCTAGAATATTGGAAGCTACCAAATAAAATTAAAATATTAAAACCCCTAACTACTGAAGTTAAAGTACCATTGTGGAAACAAGGTAATTTTTAGTAAACATACTCCAGTAACAAAAATAACGCACCACACCAAAAATTTGCCATTTTCTTTGGGTTAATGGATTTAATACATTTTTCAGTATTCTGCAGTCTGGTCTTTCTTCTTTAACCAAGAATATTATTATTATTATTATTATTATTTAGATATAAAAACAACTGAAGAAGTCACTGTGCGACGAAACATAGTTGTTTTTATATTTAATAATAATAATAATAATTTCTTTATTAACGCAAATAATAGCAGTAACAATATATTAGTTTACAGGTACATAAAAAAAACTCCCCCAATAAAATAAATAACTCAAAATAAATATAAATTATGTAGTATCACATCCGATTTAATTGGCGTCTAAAAGTACACATTGAAATGCCAAAAAAGTTACACTCAGACATCTCATTAACAGTCTTAGTCACACGACATAGAGGCGAATTGCTAGCATACACAGTATGAAATAATGGAACTTGTAAAAGGGGATACTTTCTCAAGACTCTTATAGGAATTTGCATAAAAAAACAAGCCAGTATCTCAGGGTCTACAATGAAATTATTAATCACTTTATAAAAAAATGTTGCATCAATATCTTTTCTTTTCTGTGTAAGTGTTTTAAGCCCCAAATACTGCCTTGTTTGATCAGTGCTTAGTGGAAGAGACAGCTTATAACGCATATAACGGATAAACTTATTCTGAATGGCCTCCAACCTATTAATGTGAACATTATAAACTGGAGACCAAATCGTAGAAGCATATTCTAGTTTAGAGCGTACCAGGGATGTAAATAGAGCCAACAGTGATCTGCATTCCCTAAAATCGACAGTCGTGCGCAGTAAGAAACCCAACATCCTGTTTGCTTCCGCAACCATTTTGTCAAAATGGTTGTGAAATTGCAGTTTGCTGTCCAAAATAACACCAAGGTCGTTAACCATCTCTAGAGATTTTAACTTGAAATTATTAAGATAGTAGGAATTTAAGTGTTTAACTTTACTTCTGGAAAAGACTATAACAGAGCATTTGTCATTATTCAAAAACAATTGGTTCTTCTGGCACCATTCATTAAGTACATTCAGATCACTCTGCAAGGCTTCCATATCCCTGCCAGCCTCGATACAACGATACAGCTTCAAATCGTCCGCAAACAAAAGAAATGGGGATTTAAAACTATTACCAATGTCATTAACAAAAATTGAAAATAAAATAGGTCCCAAGTGCGAACCTTGCGGAACTCCACTGGTGACATTGATGACATCCGACATAAAACCATTTAGTTTTACCCGCTGACTACGTCCCGCGAGATACGAAGCAATCCATTGGTGAAAAGGCGATTGCAATCCGTACCTCCCGAGCTTAAGTAACAAAACATCATGACTGACAACATCAAACGCCTTACTGAAGTCATTATAAATTGCATGCACTTTCATACCCTTATCCATGCAGGAAGAGATAAAATTGACATAAGAAAATAAGTTTGTAACTGTTGAACGCCCCTCAGTAAAGCCATGCTGCTGTGGAATAATGATGTTTTTAAATGCAAACGTTATAAAAGGGATTACAAGTTTTTCAAAAATTTTAGGGATAGCTGATTGAATGCATACCTGCCTGTAATTCCTAACATTTCCCTTGTCACCAGATTTAAATATTGGCAAAACATAAGAGCTCTTCCATGCTTCAGGAAAGACTCCGGTTCCTAGCGATTTGTTAAAAATAAATAAAAGGGGGTCACATAATGATGGCGCAGTTCTGTTTAAGAATAAATTGGATATACCATCCGGCCCAACGCCTTTTCGGCAATCCAATTTTTGTAAAGTAATGTATAAATTTTCATATGATACACGAATAGAGGACAAATCTACCGAATTTTTACCCGCTATTGAATCATCCACAATAATATCTGACCCCCTTGAATTGGCATAAACCGATTCAAAATGAGATGCAAACAGATTCGCGATAGATAGGCCATCGTGACAAACTGTCCCCTCTAAAAAAACCGTCTTATGAATATCACCTGTTCTCCTTTTACTTTTGACAAAACTCCAAAATTGTTTAGGGTTACATACCACATCACCTTCAACTCTATTAATATACGTGTCATAACAAATCCGGCTCAGATCTTTACATTGTTTTCTTAAATTTGAAAAGTTTTGATAATGTACTTGCATGTTAGTTTGTTTGAACAGCTTATGAGCTTGTTTCTTTAATACTGTTAAGCCTTTTAGATCACCATTAAACCAGATGGGAAACTTACTATACGTCCGCTTCCTAGGTACAAACAAATCAATTGCCTTAAAAACAATGTTATAAAAATAATTCACCATATCATTTACATTATACAAAGAATACATTTCACACCAATTAACATTAAAAAAATAATTGTTTATTAATACATAATCTCCCTTAGCAAAACAATACTGTACATCATCCTTGATATCTAACATAACACAGGTCATATCTAAAGTAAAGCACAAAGCAGGATGATAATTATCACAGGGTACAAACCCTTCATCCTTTTTAATATCAATTTTAATATTTGAAAAACAAAGATTCAAAATGGAGTTTGATTCATTGACAATTAAATTTTTTTGTTTAAGACCCAAAAATGAAAAACCATCCAAAACACAACATTCTCTTTCTAACGCAAGGCCCACAGCCTCAATTTTAAGTGTGTCACTATCCCGATACCAATTTATACTAGGCAGGTTATAATCACCCAACACAATAATTGTGGAGTTTGGAAAATCACTGCAGATTCCCCTCACAGCCATTAAATGATTTTCATATACCCTTAAGGGCGAACCAGGTGGAATGTAGACACAGCCAAATATCACAGACCCCTTTAGAGATTTCACCTCCACAAACACCTGTTCCACCACTGAGTCCACCAAGGTGATTTGTCTACACTGGTAATCCTTCTTAATTCACTGCGTTTAAAATTGCTTGTAGAACTGTTTCGATCACTTCTATATACCTGGTAGAGATCACCAACTACTTCACTGTCTTCAAAATCTGGGGTTAACCAGGATTCTGTGACACTAACCACATCAAAATCATTATTTGTAAGATATCAAAAACGTCTTTAACTTGGTCCTTAAACCTCTAACATTCTGGTAAAACACAGAAAAACTAGATTTATTGAATTTATGAAACGGCTATTACTTAAAAATTTTTACTGACGATTTTTGGCACCCCATTTACGTATTTGATAGTTTTTACATAATAATAACAATAATTATTAATTTTTGGGATAAATATAATTTCCTTATTATACAAGAAAAATTCTGCATGCATGCAATTCTTATATGCATGAAAATTCTGCCCACCGGGTTTTTTAAAACAAAGTGACTAGAAGTACACCGGGAGTACGGGCATTAAACGTACACCGGGTGGAAAAAATCCTTATTTAGCAAATTTGTCAATTGTATAATATTAAATGGTCGCTCAATTTCGCGCTCAATGGGGCGGGGGGCCCAATGGGGCGGGGTCGGTTGGGTTGGGTTGTTGAGTTTGGGTTGATTTGGGTAATTTATACTGACATTTCATTAATTTTGTTAATTGTATTTCAATCACTTAATTAAATTTTAATCAATGTTTATACAACTTGAAAGTTAGCTTAATAATTACATAATTATTATCAAGAGTTAACCAGCTCTTATACAACTGGGCCTTAGTGTACCAATTTAATCTCAACTAATAAATCCGAAATTTTTACCATCAGCTGGTATGGAAACACGCATGCGCACAAACCTGATGTACGTTTAATGCCCGTACTCCCGGTGTACTTCTAGTCACGGCGTTTTAAAAAATGGGTGGTTACGCACGAAAACTACCGGTTCTGCAGCAGGACTCCTGCTTATCATTTCGTATTAATTGTTTGTGTTTTAAAAGTACATATACACCCTGCTGAAAATGACGGATGATTGCGGATATAAATTCTTCGTCAAAACCGGATAAAAGCAGATGATTGCGGGTATAAATTCTTCGTCGAAGCCGGATAAAAGCAGGTAAAAATATCATCTGATAACATCTGCTTTTGTCCGCATCGCTATATCCGCGAACACCCGGTTGGTTGTGTTTTATGTCCGGTTAGTGCACCCCCGCAATCATCTGCAATCATCTGTTTTAAACCGTCTTCACTGTGTTTCGTTTATATCTGAATTTGTCCGGAATCATCTGCAAACGTCTGCTTACGTCTGTTTTTATCCGCGATTACCTGCATTTTTTTTCGTCTATTTTTGTCGGGTTTTATCTGAAAACGTCTGGTTTTATCCGCGAGCATATGCTTTTACCCGCGAACATCTGCAATCATCCGCGAACATCTGCTTTCATCCGCTAACATCTGATTTTATCCGCCAACATCTGCTTTTATCCGCGAACATCTGCTTTCATCCGCGAACATCTGCAGTCACCCGCGAACAACTGCTTTTATCCGCGAACATCTGCAATCACCCGCGAACATCTGCTTTCATCCGAAAACGTCTAGTTTTATCCGCAAACATCTGTTTTCATACGGTTTCACCCACAAACATGCTTTTATCTGCGAACGCCTGATTTCTTCCGGTTAGTGCACCCCCGCAATCATCTGCTTTTATCCGCGAACATCTGCAATCACCCGCGAACATCTGCTTTCATCCGCGAACATCTCATTTTATCAGCGAACATCTGTTTTTATCCGCAAACATCTGCTTTCATCCGCGAACATCTGCAGTCACCCGCGAACAACTGCTTTTATCCGCGAACATCTGCAATCTCCCGCGAACATCTGCAATCACCCGCAAACATCTACTTTTATCCGCAAACATCTGCTTTTATCCGCGAACATCTGCTTTTATCCGCGAACATCTGAAATCATCCGCGAACATCTGCTTTTATCCGCAAACATCTGCTTTCATCCCCAAACATTTGCTTTTATCTGCAAACATCTGATTTTATCCGCAAATATCTGCTTTTATCCGCGAACATTGCTTTTATCCGCAAACATCTCATTTTATCTGC